CTCCCTGGCAGAGCAGCTGTCTCTCCCAAAACTCCATTGATGAATTTATTTCCTCTATTGATTTGCTGACTCTTAGCGTGGAATAATTTCTCGCGAAGGTTTTGGACTTCTCATTTCCAGAAGTCCTGCCTGCTTCCCACCTACCCTTTATTTATACGTGTCGCTGCCACCTTGTTAGCTACCCTAAAGGTGGTTTGGAAGAGTTTATGGGGGAATATTGTTGAACTTCAGTAATCAAGTTTCCAGATCTTATGCCTCCTGTTTAATTTATTAGACTAGTTATTTATTCTGTTGATGATAATCTGTTGCTGGTTTCTATGGAGATGTTAAACTGATCTCTTTCAGAAATCAAACTCCATATGCACTAAAACGTTTAAAGGAGCAGCGTCCCCTTTTGTTTTCAGACTTTGTACCTTTTCGGTGCTTTTATTGGGCTCCTGTATATTTTATATATTAAAGCCTGAAGTTGAAGCTTTGTGCAAGACAGACCTTATTATGGCTAACAGAAAGTCAGGGCTTTGATCCTTTTTTTTTGCATCATCATTTAAAACAGATCATTTTTCCCCCCTCATCACACAAGATAGCAGAACCCTTTCAAGATCAAAGAGTCCAGCTAAAAACTATTGTTTAAAAAAAATAGAAAAAGAGCCAGCTTTAAATAAGGGGGATGTTTCCTTAATCTGCTTATTTTGTTCTAAAGATTTTTTTTTTTTAGCAGTGAAAACAACAACAACAGAAACTTGTAGCAACTATATTGTTATTTTTATACCTTCCAAGTCTTTTTAATGTTAAAATAAGTTCAAAGTCAAATATCTCTAAAGATAAAGTGCTTGTTAGGGTGCTTTTATTACTTGGTTTCTAAATGTGGAAGGTCAGAATCCAGAAAGCTACCGCATTAGAGAAGGTTTTAATAGTCTTTGTCTCATCTTAATGAGAGAGAAATCTAAAAAAACATTTTCCCCGCAACATTTATAAATTATTTCAAAGAAGTCTCTCTGCATATAACTCAATTTTCATTATTTCTTAACTTATCCATTGCGTTTTACATGTGATTCAGTGTAATACCACTTTTTAAAAAGTAATTGAGGTGAGAGAAGAAAATTTGTTTTTATGCTTAAAATTTGAGAACTCATGGTAAGCTGGTGTGTTGATCAGGCTGACGCACCGTGCACACCAATTGTGGTTTTTTGCTCATCTTCTGGAGAAAAGTTAAAAGGTTTGCAAAGAGAATACTACCAGCACAATGCATGTTTAACACAGTCAAAAAACCCCTGTATTTTTCTCTTGCTGTATCTTCAAAATGTTTCCACTCCCTAAAACAGAGCTGTTTTTCCTCTCGGTATGCTTCTATACTAATCTTAAAAAATAAAAGAATAATCCTAGAGGAAATAGTGCATGTAACCCTCATAACTCATATATGTGTGTATGTGTATATACATTTATATTTCACATAGAGATACAGACATATGCACACACACACGTATCTGGAAAACACCTAGGTGGTTTATGATCTGTCCATACTAGACTTTATCTTTTTTCCTTGTTAATTTTTCTCCTTTTTTTTGTGTGCGTGCATGATTCGTAATGTAGTGGATCATTTAAAATTTTTTGGTAAATATTCTGTTTATTTGTTTGATTTGAATTGCAAACAGAATTGACTCTGACAAGTAAAAAGAGGAGGGGGGAAAAAAGGAAACACTATGGCTTTAAACTCAGGAGTTTGCATATTCTCCTTGTATCTTTCCCCTTTGCTAATTATTGTGTTGTTTTCAGAGCAAATATGTCATATCCATGGCGACCAGGCAGGTTTATTGTCTTTCAGAAGCAATAGCTCACATAAGTAATTAATGACTTCTTTTTTTTTCCTCTGGCTTAGGTTAAACAGATCATTCAAGGAAAGTCATATCTCTCTCCCTCTCTCTTTTTTTTTTTTTTTTAGCCCAGTGACATAAGAACATGAGTTAGAACAAGAAAATACTTTAACCAAGAAGTCAACAGCTTATTTTTCCTCATTTCTTTTTAAAAGCTCCAAGTGTCAGCTTTCCACGCACATGACGTTGTCATTCTTGCAGTTTCAGAGAGAAGCCCTGGTACAGGGAAAAGCCACTGGGAGCTGGAGTTCAGCTGGTGGTTGTACAGCTGAGCAAAGTGTGTGCGTGTGTCTCCGTGTGGGGAGGTGTTATTCTTGCTTAAGGGTTTTGCTGGGTACTGGGAAAAAAACGTTTCCCTCAAGTGTCAGCTTTCCACGCACATGACGTTGTCATTCTTGCAGTTTCAGAGAGAAGCCCTGGTACAGGGAAAAGCCACTGGGAGCTGGAGTTCAGCTGGTGGTTGTACAGCTGAGCAAAGTGTGTGCGTGTGTCTCCGTGTGGGGAGGTGTTATTCTTGCTTAAGGGTTTTGCTGGGTACTGGGAAAAAAACGTTTCCCTCACTATCCCACTGTATTAAAAATCAGTGTTAAAATAAAGGTGTGTTTTTGTATCTTGCAGATTGTAATTCAAACAGTTTCCAGGAAAGAATTAGTAATTCATTTTTATATACAGCATATATACACACACGCTTGAGCTCCACCCAAAACAATCAAGCTAGCTGGAAAAAAAAAAACTTATTTCCTTTTTCTTTTCAAGCCCAAGCAAACTTGCACAGTGACTTTCAAAAGCTTATTAAAAATAGCTCCCCATTTTTG